AACAACAACAGCAACAGCACAACAAAAGCAAACAGGCAACAGCAACAGCAACAACAACAGCAACAGCAACAGCAACAGCAACAGCAACACCAACAGCAACAGCAACAGCAACAGCAACAGCAACAGCAACAGCAACAGCAACAGCAACAGCAACAACAACAACAACAGCAACAGCAACAACAACAACAACAGCAACAGCAACAGCAACAGCAACAGCAACAGCAACAGCAACACCAACAGCAACAGCAACAGCAACAGCAACAGCAACAGCAACAGCAACACTCACCATGAATATGTGGGATATCAACAAGTGATGGGGATCATGGGATATATATGGGATATATATACATATATATATATGGAGTGCGGCCCTGAGTCAAAGGCACCAGGGTATTTTTTTTGAGGCCCGTGGTGACCCACAAGCAGAAGAGAAAACAATCTTTCAAACAAAATGGTTGACACGTTGGTGATCGTGTTTTGATGGATGGACACTTGACAATTTCCCAGTTTTCTAAAACACTTTACCACTTGAAGAGATAGAACCAACCACAAAACACGGCTTTTAGAGGCGCGATATTTTGCCAAAACCTCCACCTGGAACTCCCAGGCATCTTCAGTGGCGAAGCTGGAGAAATTGGTGGCTTGGGCCCATGCCCAGTTTCCTGCCAGGTGACGCCTTGCGCGCCTTGCGCGAAAAGGCTTCGGAGCAGATGGGCTGCAGCAGGAAATTTCTGATTTGCAAGTAGAGGCATACACAGTCATGCATTTACGCATATTTGTGCATACATATTACAATTGCATACGTTATACATATACATCATGTATAACATATCTGAATACATTTATTGTCATCGGAGACATACAGATACACCAGCACACATTTCATTTCAAAGAACCAAGTGCATGGTGTTTGAGACCACGATGCCACAGAGATTAGTTCAAAAAAGGCATGTTTGGTCTGGGTTTTGAAGGAATGATCCCCTTCCCAACATGGTAATTCCGCGATTTTGCCAGGTTTGTGGTCAGCTAAACTTGTGCAGATAACTTGGTGAATCCTACAGGATGGTGCCCCATAGTTAGCTAAGTTGGTTTATAACTCCCATAACTATGGTTTATGGCAGATATAACTATAGTTAATGGGGTTTATAAACCAACTTATAACTGGGGGGCACCATCCTGTAGGATTTGTGGTGTTTTTAACTATCGCCAATGCGTTCAAAGCGTTCGTGTAATGGGGTTTGTAAACCAATTCATAACTGGGGGGGTCCACCTTGCACATGCGCCCTTCAAGACTATTTTCCTGTTTGAATTCAAACAACAGCTGGTTGAATAGAGAATCTTCACAGCCGAAGAGGCAAATAGCCGAATGGCATGATCAGCAGAGGTTGGAACTAGGCTGATTATTGCCCCAGATCTCCCCAAACATGTGGACAACATTGGAACTAGGCAGATGTCACAAACAATTTATTCAATGACAATTATCTCTTTTTAAAACATCCAGTTTTCTGGCGTGATAAATTTGTCTGGGAAAACACCTATATGTTTATAAACATGTGATACATTATAAATTTTAAACATTTGTTGTATTTCAAACCATCCGGGGTGACACCTTGTGGCAATTTGCCACCGACACTGACCAAGTGGAAAGGCCCGTTTTTCGTTTGGCTCAAATGCAGAACACATGGCCAATCGAAGTGTTTTTTTTTCCTGGATCCAGTGCTACCACTTAGGGACCAGTTTGGAAAGCGTTCCGCAGCTGATCTACTTCGAACATCTTGCAGATAGCGTTTCTCGAAACGTCGCCATGCCGTTGGTGGAGGTCTTCGCGCGGGAGGCAGATATGCCCAAAATTCAGGCGAGGGGTGGTGGGTGGCAAAATATATGTATATTGTATCATATTGTCAATAATGATTAGGGACATATTATATTTTTTGTCCCATGTATGTATATTGTATCATAATGATTAGGTCAATGGGACAAAAAAACACTCTGTGACGTAGAAAATGTAGAATAACACCCAAATGCTTGGTTACTGGGATGGGATTATAAGATTTGTTCACACAAGTTATATCCCAAGTTTCGAGCGCATCAGGGCCCAACAATGATGATTTGAATAGGCAATGTATTACAATAATATATATATATAATTATATATATGATATAGAGTATTGTATATATATATATACATATATATATATACACATTATATTTGACACAAAAACAACTTGGAGATACTTTATAGAGTAACATTGCCCCCAGGACGAGTCAGAGTATCTAGCAATCTTCTTGGGTATTTTCACCAAGACAAGGAGGTCAGCACTCAAACCAGGGATGTGGTCCGGGGCGTGAGAAGTTGGGTTTGGTACAATACCCTCCGGTAAACATACAAAAAACCATGGAAAATGACCGTTTTCAATGGGAAAATCCACTATTTCGACTGGGCCATTTTCAAGTTCGCAAACTGTTAGTTTACCAGAGGGTAACCTTGGGACTTGCCAACGCATATCGGGATATGAGCATGAAACTATACATCAGCGACTACCTTTGGCAATGACCAATGATAAGGAGTCAATTTTAACGCAACACTGTGATACAGCTCACCAATTTGGCCTGTTATAGTGAAGGATTTTGGGGGCATTAAAACTCCAAACCAATCACACATGTTAACACATATGAATACCATGATACCATCTTAGTTTGAAAAAATCACACGTATTCATAACATTAGCAGTGACGAAACCGCCGGTTGATAGTTTATTATAGGGGGCTATACAACCCTTTATATATTGGGGTTTTGTGATTAAATGAAACTCCAATAAAATACCCAACCAATTAGTAGATATATCCATACTTATTTTATAATCTGATGATAAATTATATTATAAAATTATAAGCAAGAAATTTCATCAGCTGTTCATTTATAATTTATATAAGCATAATTCATTCTAATATACCCTCTGGTTATTTAACATAGCCATGGAACATGGCCTATTTGTAGATGGTTTACCTATAAAAACTGGTGATTTTCCATGGCGAACTGTTAGTCATAACCAGATGGTAAATCCTATTAAATCCCATTAAATCCCATTAAACCACCATTAAATCCCATTAAATCCCATGGCAAACCGTTGGATGAGTAAGGACGATGGCGCCTGTGAATTTTTGGTGCTCAAGCTTTCATGGTCGAAGTGGTGGCCAGGTTTCTCCAAGGTGTTGAGATTTTTAGGTGGGGACTCCTCACTAATTGGTGGGGTTTAGGTTGCCCATCCCACTGTGGATCCCCTGCGGCATCATCCCTCCTACTCTGTCTCATTCTTGGATTTTTTCTTGGATTTGCCCTTTGTCTCTTCATCTGCTACTTCGTCCTGGGTGCTTTCCTGCGTGATCTTCCTGCTCCCCAGAGGGGTCCACCCCCTGCCTCCTGGCAAGAGGCTCATATTCATCGCCTGAGAGGCTATTTGCATGCAAGGGTCCAGGATCGACAACCTCAGCGATAAGGTGGATTCTTTGAGTGGGAGAGTTGATACCTTAGGAGAGCAGGTCAGTTCCTTGGCACGAGCTGTTGAGAGACTCAGTTTGGTCATCGGCAGCTCCCCTTTGCCGGCCTCCGGGCCTGCAGGTGAAGCATCAAGTGCCTACCCTGCTCCTTCAGATACCAGTTCGGTGTCTGGGGTCTCAAGATCCAGCCAGTATAACGCCCTTGCTGAGGAGATTCCGGTTGTGCCTGATTTTTGTGTGGCTTTGTGTGGTCGCCTGGCGGCTGGTACACTCTCCGCTCGTCAGAGAGCAGAGCGGGCCTGGGAGAGTGGTTGCTGGGCCAAGTTCGTTTTGGAAGGCAGAATCCAAAAGCCCAGACCGTCGCGACCTTGCGACGTTGCAAACTCTATCTACGTGGTCCTCAGAGCCCAAGGGTACCTTTGCCCTCTCTACGTCACCTCCGCCAGTGCCTACCGAGCGATTGTGGGCGACTTCAAGAGCGACACTTTGTCGCACGGCTTTGGTTCACAGGCAGAAGCTAAGGTTTACTGTGCAGGGGCCGGAGTGGCCTTTCCATCGGCGCCGCATCAATGGACCTCGCAGCAGTGAGTTCAATTCAAGAAGGTTTTCAAGAGGTCTATCTCCTCTGTTGGCCCATCGATGTTCCTCTAGAGGATGGCATGTCAGGCCAGTGTATGGTTGTGATGAAGCGAGAGGGAGGTGTCCTTTTAGCAGTTCCCCTGGGCTTCATTCCTACAGAGGCGTTGCAGGCAGCAGCACAACATGCAGAGCAGTCTCTATTAGGGCCACATACTGTGCTGACTATCCCTTCCGCACGTTTCCTGGATGGTCAGTTGGTGCCTACAGAAGAGTCTATGGATGTGCAGGTGGTAGATGTCAGCTTAGACGTTTTGCTTGCAATGCGGCCTTTTGTGTTGGGGATGGAGCTTCAAGAGCCTATGGTGATGTTTGGAGAAGAAGCCGAGGTTTTGCCAGATCCAACCACTCTTTTGGCCTATGTCAGGGAATGGATTACTGTGGCCGGACAGGGCCGCACGGTCTTTTATTCTGCAGAGGAGCCAGAGATGGTAGAGGAGGCAGGCCCAACTCCAAAGGTGGGCAAGGCAAAGCAAAAGGCAAAGGCAGTAGAGAAGGCAAAGAAGCCCAGTCCTCAGCAGGTTGCAGAGCAGATCCAGAGCCTAGCAAAGATGATTCCTGCAATGGCACAAACACTAGCAGTAATGCAAGAGGAGCAAACACGCATGAAGGAAGCCATGGAAGGAGTTGCAATGTCTCCCCCTCCACGAGCCTCCCAAGCTCCTGTAGCCATGTCAATGCAGGCTTTTGCAAAGGTGATGGGTCAGCCCCCCAAGGTCAGGGGTCTGGCTGTTCCCGCGCCGCCTCCGCCAAAAGCTCACAGGATGCAGCTGGACTCAGCTTTGAATGTGCAGGAGCAAGCAGAGGAGTCAGAACCTCTGAAAGAGAGCAGCAGCTTGGCACTTGCAGTCCTAGAGCAAAGCAAGGCCCTCACAAGTTTGGTTTCGCAGCTGTCTTCAGGCGACCCGCTCCTGGACCATCAGGCCACAGGAGCCACAACCTCTTCCAAAGGGGCTCAAGGCCGAGAAAAGCTCATGAGAGAGCTGGCCGACAGGAGCAGCGATTTCTGCCTGACGGTGGCCCAGAATGCTTACAGGAGGATGAAGCCGGCAAGCAAGGCTCCAGCCACTCTGCAGGAGATCTCTCAGACCGACTTTTCCATGCTCAGCTATCTAGAGCGTTTTGGGGGCTACGGAGGAGCAAGAGATGTAGGGATCATGCAGTATGCGATGAGCTTCATCATGGACTGCGCCATCAGGGAGGATCTGGTGGGAGTACAGGAATATGCTGCCCTGTTTATGGTGGGTCTGGAGCAGGCAGCGCAGGACCAGGGGCGCTGGGACCTTGCTTTTCAGCTGATGCTTCTGGAGGACCCGCCCAGCCAGATGTGGTCCTACAGAGGAGCAGGGATTCCTCAGACTGGGCGGGCCCGGGCTTTTGCCCCCCTGTGCCCTCAGAGGTGGGCCACAGTTGCCTTGGCTTACGCAAAAGAAATCGATTTTATTCAATCCAAACGTTTGGAACTCAGCAAGAGGACTCCCACCCCAGCGCCAGCTGCAGTTCCGACTCCAAACCCAAAGAAGAAGCCGACCAAGTTCCCGAAGGCGAAGCAGTCAGCAGGAGGAGGACAGGCTTCCGGAGACAGCCAGGAGGGTTAGAGCCTGTGGGGGCCCAAGCTAGGACATCCGTCGGCTCTGATGGTGGCATATTCTTTGCAGCCCAGTGTGGCACCTTCCCCTTGCCATCGAGTCTCCCTACAGAAGGGAATCCTCAGGGTGAGAGTGCCCTCATCTGCTCCCAAAGTTCAGTTGCTGAAAGTTCCCGAAGTCCAGCAGCTTCGGGGGTTCAGGCAGCCACGTGCAAGGGCTCGACTATGAAAGGTTTTTCTGCCTCTCAGGCCACAATGAGCGGGGAAGCAGTTGATGCATGCAATGGCTTGAGCACAGTGCCCAAGACCATGAATTTATTTGGATGGTCATCTTTGATTTTTCGGCAGCTGATGACCTCCGGCACCAAGTTCTCGTACTTCGTGCTGAAGTGCGTCCTCGCATGCAGGGGGCCTCGTGATGAGGCCTCAACCGCTTTGTTTCCATTGCCCCTGCCTCTTGGTGACGTTTGGAGCAGTGACCTGAAGAGGCTCAGTAGCACGAGGCGTGCCAAGGTTGCTGTGAAGAGGAGCTTGTTTTTGGCAGTTGCAGCTTTGAATTTTCTGCACTTCAAGGAGCCTTTTTCACAGATTAAGTTTCTTCGGAGGTGTCCATCAAGTTGTCATTTACAGATTTTTGACAGGTTGGTTGCACTTATCAAAGCGGGCGGCCACAGTGGTGACTTTGATGTTCTAAGCTGTGGACGCAAAGCTCATCAATTAGTTGCAAGGATTGAGGAGCTGCACAAGACTTTGCAAAGTTTGGGTCTTGACAACAGCTCTTTCTACTCCAAGGAGAAGGTTGTACAGCGTGTGGAGATGAACAATGAGAAAGATGAGCTGAGGCCATACAGGAGCTTGGATGCCTCTCGTTTGAAGATCGTAGGGCAGGCAAACTGGGATTGCCGGCCTTTCCTTTCAGACCTTCTCTACATGAGCTTTGTTGAACCGAAGTCCAACCAGTTCTCTGTCATTGCGCCACCTGAGCTCCTTCCTGACCTTTCTAGCGTTGATAGGGCAGAGGTCATTGAGCTGTGCCGTGTTTGGGATGTCCGTGGGCTTCTCAAAGTCCTCCCTCGAAGTTATGGCCCTCCTCATTTGTGGATGTTCTCCAAGGTGTTCAACAATTTCAAGAGCACTACCACAGACAGGCAGATTGGGGATCGCAGGGGTCAGAATTTTTGCGAGGGTCGGATTGAAGGAGGGCCGTCTAGGTCTTTGCCTACGGCATCCACTTTGCTGCAGCTTGAGGCCACACGGTTCTCTGAAGCCCTTGTTGGTTCAATTGCAGACAGGAGGGATTTTTATCATCAGTTTTTGACCACTGATGAGAGGTGTGCCACAAACGTCCTGTTTCCACCTTTGTCTTTGGCAGAGATTGCAGGCACTCACGCGGCAGCTGCGTATGCTAGCACTTTTCTCAAAAGCCATCGGAAAAGGGGACATCGTTCTGACAGAGTGCTGGAAGGTGATTTTCTTGGAGGAGGTAGAAGAGGACTCCTATTTGAGTCGGAGGAAGATATTTGCTGCTGTTTTGCTGCGTTGTTCCAAGGGGACCACTTGGGAGTGGAGTTTGCTACGGATGCCCACAGCAGGCTTCTTCAGGAGAACGGCTTGCTTTCGGAGGGGCGCAGGCTCCAATCCAATGCCCCTCTTGTTTGGGATGACTGCGCTTCTGGTCTGGTCATTGATGATTTTTTCGTGATTTCCAGAGAGGTTGTTTCAGAGAAGGAGAACTATGAGTGGTCCAGGTCAATGCAGCAGTTCAACATAGCAAAGGATGTCTATGCTAGTGAGGGCCTTTTGTGCTCAGACGACAAGGACATCAAAGCTGCCTCGGTTTTCAAAGTTTGCGGAGGTGAGGTGGTGTCTCATGCAGCGGCAGTTAGGAGTGGCGTGGTTGCCTTGGGGGCTCCCTATGAGAAGCGAGTAGCATTGGCAGCTTTGACTTGCAGGGCTGCTGCTTGGCGCTTCACGTCAGACGCTTTGCATTCATGTCTGACTGGCTCCTGGGTTTCCATGCTGCTGTTGAGGCGTCCCATGATGGCTATTTTGAATGAGGCCTTCAATGTGATTCCTCCTGACGAGCTGCAACCTCAGGAACCGATGCTCAGGCCGCTGTCCAGAGCTGCTGCCCAGGAGTTTCAGCTTTTGGCGTCTTTAGCATTGGTCTGCTCATCAAACCTGGCAGTTCCTTTTTCTGAGGAGATTTTTGCCTCAGATGCCTCAAACGAGAAGGGAGGTATCTGCGAAGCTTTGGTCTCTGAGGAGCTCTCCAAGGTCCTGTGGAGGAGTGCAGATCGAAGGAGGGATCCGCTGCCTCTGCTCTCACGGTCTCAGATCATTCTCTCTCAATATGAGCAGATGTATGAGGAGCTGCCAGCAGACAAAGTCCAAGCAGAGGGGCCTCAGTTTGTTGGAGATGCTTGCGGAGAAAATCTTGGGGAGCAAGGCGCACCATCTGAAGTTCCCTGCGAGAGGCCTATTGGTATGCGTTTTGACTTCATTGAGATTTGTGGAGGAGCCGCAGGAGTTACCAAAGAGCTGGTCAAAGAAGGGGTCAGCTGTGGCCCAGTGCTTGACCTTTCAGTCAGCAAGCAGTTTGACATTTCAGAGCACAGGGTCATCCAGTGGGTTGTCTTTATGCTTGAGGAAGATAGACTGGAGACTTTCCTAGTATCCCCTCCCTGCACATCCTTCAGTCCTGCGGCTCATCCCTGCGTCCGGAGCTATAAGGAGCCTCGAGGCTTCGACCAGCAGAATTGGAAGGTTCGGATAGGCAACTTGTTGGCCTTTGCTGCCCTCACCTTCCTTTTTGTGGCATACAGGATGCAGAAGAGCGGTTTGGGAGAGACCCCTAGGCGTAGTAAGATGCGTTGGCTAGAGGAGTGGAAGAGACTGATAGCCTTGGGAGCTGAGGAGGTATTTCTGGCCATTTGCATGTATGGCTCAGTGCATCAGAAAGAGTTTTGCTTTCTTGGCGTTAACATGCATGTGAAGCTTCTCCATCGGCGTTGCAGCAGAGACCACCAGCATATCAGAATCCAAGGCAAGTATACCAAGATGTCCGCAATTTATTGCGAGGGACTCTGTAGGGCGTTGGCAGTTTTCTTCAGGGACCATATTCTGGCCAAGAGGAGAGCAGGTGAGAGGTTTGCTTTGAGGAGCCAGGGCCTTGAGGATGTTCTCACAAATGATTGCTGTTTGTCTTTGCGGTGGAAGACCATCGCGGCTTGGAGGTGGTCCTCTAGGTCTCACATAAATGTCCTCGAGGTTGCAGCGTGTATCAAGCTCCTTAGAGACCTTGTGAGGAAAGGAGGTGATCTTCGGCAGACAATCTTCCTGGACTCCCATGTTGCTCTCTCAGTTTTTGTGAGAGGCCGCTCCTCGGTAAAGTCCCTGCAGCATCAGCTCAGGAAGTTTGCAGTTCTTTGCATAGCAGGAGGTTTGTATCCGGCCTTCAGGTTTGCTCCAACAAGAATGAATCCAGCAGATGCTCCCACAAGGGATAGAGAGGTCCCATCACCTGAAAGTTTTACGGCACTTGCAAACTGCAGTGCAGAGTCACAACATGTAGCTGCTAGGTGTAAGGGCCTCAGAAGATGGGCAGCAAATTGGGCACGCCTTGTCCTGCTCCTGCATACCTCCCTGTTGCCTTTTCTAGCATGCCATGACCTGCGGAAGCACCCCATCTGCCCCATCCTCCAGCGTGAGTGGACTTTGGATTTTGATTCCACGCTGGGGTATCCAGGGGAAGGGCCACTCTTCAGGCTCTTTGTCTCTCTCTCTGCCGTATGGGGATTTTTGGGCTTAGTAGTAGCTGTAGGTCCTAGCCATGGCGATGAGCAGCGCAAGCATCAGCGTTCTGGGATTGTTTTGGAAGAGGGCCGTCGCGTCACAGAGACAACAGCAAATGTGCGTGGGTTGCTTTTTCAAAATTTTCTGGGCTGGCTTAGTGACCAAGGTGTTGATTTTGATGATCTGGTGATGTCATCTCCTCCAGACGTGGATCGCATCAACAAGGTTTTAGTGCAGTATGGCAAATGGCTGTTCTCGGAAGGGAAACCATATTACCACCTGAGTGAAACCATAAACCTTGTGACAAGCAAGCGCCCTGTGATTCGGCGATCGCTGCAGCAGGCTTGGGACCTCTGTTTTATGTGGGGGTCACATGAGCCAGTTGAACATCACGTTGCCATGCCCTACCAGATTTTGATTGCATTGATCTCTGCAGCATGGTGGTGGGGCTGGCATCGAGAAGCGGCAGTATTTGCTCTTTCTTGGGGTGCTTTGCTTCGGATAGGTGAGGTCTATGAGGCCAAACGATCAGACCTTATTCTGCCTGAGGATGTAGACAACACCAATGATTTTGCTTTGCTCCGAATTCGGGAACCCAAAACGCGTTTCAGGGCGGCCAGACACCAAGCAGGTCGGCTCGAGCATGTTGACCTGTTAGAGGTAGTCAAAATCGGATTCCAGCGTTTGAGGCCAGAAGAGAAATTGTGGCCTTTTTCCGGAGCAACTCTGAGGTCTCGTTTGCACAAGCTTTTGCACCAACTAGGCCTACCAACTGAGCTCCAGAATAAACCAAAACCGCTGTCCTTGGCAAGCTTTCGACCTGGTGGGGCAACACACATGATTTCTGTTTGCGACAATGCTGAAACTGTGAGGCGGCGTGGCCGCTGGGCCAGTTTTAAGGTGATGGAGATTTACTTGCAGGAGGTCAGTTCCTCCACCTACCTTAACCTGATCAGCAATGAAAGCAAACTGAATGTGCTCAACGGTTTGAAAGTTTTTCCGTCCCTTCTCCAAAAGATTTTAGTTTTTTACAAATGCAGAATCCCGGCCACCACGTGGTACTTTCTGCTCCGAGCTGATGTATGTGATGACTTTAATGTTCAAGGTGGGAAAGTGGGTGATGTAAAGACCAATCAGAACCCAGCAGCCAACCACACGTACAATTCGAGGCTGCGAGGATGAGCCAAAAAGGAGCGAGAGTTTGAGTCCTTGGATGAGTAAGGACGATGGCGCCTGTGAATTTTTGGTGCTCAAGCTTCCCTCCTCCAACCCCATGGCACCTCCTTTATCCATACTCAGCTCGGATGTTTTTTCTCTTTGGTTGCCTGGGGTGATGTAAAGACCAATCAGAACCCAGCAGCCAACCACACGTACAATTCGAGGCTGCGAGGATGAGCCAAAAAGGAGCGAGAGTTTGAGTCCTTAAATAACCAGATGGTATTCCATAGACACAGACATCATATATTACCATTGTATACATATGACTATTGATAATTGATTTACCCACTATTCAGATGGTGATTTTCCATCGTTTTTTGTTAACGTTTGCCAGAGGCCTTTCCGGACCATGGCAGCCATAATTTATAAAGTCACATCGACATGCACATGTAAATATGCAAATCTCATATATCCCATATACACATCATATGAATCATATATAGTAACATTGCTCTATACATGTTACCAGATGGTATCTACCTGATTGATATATATATATATATACGTATATATTCTATAATCTATAATCTATAATATATGATATATAAATAACCAGAGGGTATGTATTTTCACAGCTGTTCAAGCCATGTCATCTTGGACCCTTCGTCCCGAGGCTTCAGAGCTTTGTCACTTTCTACAGGACCATTTGGGGGTCGAACCCGGAGCCGCAGCCCCAGGGGATTTTCGCCGTGCCGGGCAGAAGGATGCTAACCACCGGTAAACATACAAAAAACCATGGAAAATCACCATTTTTAATGGGAAAATCCACTATTTTGACTGGGCCATTTTCAAGTTCGCAAACTGTAAACGTTTACCGGAGGGTAACCACTGTGAAATGTAAAAAGCCAGCGAAGATGCTCATTTTCGGGATTTCATGGTGATTTATTGGGATTCAATGGGATTATATAACTATGATTTACGGATATTTTTGGTGATTTCCAATTTTGAAAGAGTAATTATTTTTGGTGTTCCTCTTGAATAAGGATCAAATTGTTTGTTGGTGAAGTGTGTAGTGAGTTGTTTGGTTATACATTGGTCTGCATGTTTAATATGCTCAATTTGATGGGTTTCAACTTGTTTCAACCATAAATTGTAGTGGTCACCTAGTGGCCCCTTAAAAAAAAGGTGATGAGGACAAATATCCATCGACGTTTTTGTTTCCGTTTCCTGGTTGGTTGATGAGTGGTTTGTGACCCATTTTTGACCACCAAAAGATTGCAAATGACAATAAATACCCTCTGGTAAACATACAAAAAACCATGGAAAATCACCATGTTTAATGGGAAAACTCACTATAAATGGCCATTTTCAATAGCTATGTTCAATTACCAGAGGGTAGCATGTGCAATCAGCCGTTCCCTCTATTTTGTTCAGGACAGAACACATGATTGCTCGGGAATGCTAATCCGAGTGCCAGATCTTTTTCCATTATATACTGTATCACATGATATTCTCATAAAACTGCACATGTTTGCGACATTTTTTGACAGTAATATCATAGTAATATCCCTGTCAAATAGTTTTATCCATTTCATAGGGCCGCATGCAGTATGTAGTTACATCCATTTGATTGGCAAAAACATCACCAAGTGAACTTGAAAAATAGAGACTTCCCCGTTTTTGACTGGCAATATTGCCACTTTTTTGATGGTGAACCCCCAGTTATCTCCCTGGTTATCTCCATTTCAAACCCTCCGCCCAGGTCGTCCAGGTGATGATGAGTGTGGTCAAGGATGACTGTCGGATGATTCGCTGATAGTTCTAGGAAGTTATAGAAGTTATGATCAATACACTGTGAGATTTTGGTGCCACTTTTTCCACTTCCACCGCTTTTTTTGGGTGTTTCAGGTTTTGTTAAGAGTTCGGGAAGCTCGGTTGGGTCCTTTGATAGTGTTGCTCATAGCCGTCACAGCCATAAACTGAAAAAACAGATGCCCAACGCACGAGACGCAACATGGTTTGATACTTGGAGGTCCAGTTAAACCTATTTCATGGATGGTCCAACTGCGAGCATAGAACCAACCCTCGGTTTCAACACAAGGTTTTACATGGTTCCATGTGCTAGAAATGATGCAGACAAATCTTGTCAGCCCTTTTTCACTGCCGAGGCCTCGAACTCGTTATTGATGGTTCAGTAGGAAAGCAAACCCGAAACAGATGCAAATTGATGAAACAGTTGGACGCATGAAATTGATAGAATTAAAGTCATCTATGATCAATGGATTTTTCAGGGGATGTACAGGAAACAAGCCAAAACATGAGGTCATACTTTCCGAGCACAGACAGGGAGTATGAGTTCAGTTCGTTAGCTAAACTTGCAGTTGGTTCAGAACTAGGTTAACTAGGTTAACTGGGTTAACTAGGTTAACTGGGTTAACTAGGTGATACAACTAGGTGAACTACTTGAAGGTCAACCAGGTTAGCTAGTGTGTATGGTGGACATGTCTATGGATGGGTGCAGATCAACCGCCAGTCACATGGGTCAAAAACTCAACATATGGTGGTCATATCCGCTACAGCAATAAGAAGCACCTGAAAACTGCATTCCCAAGTACTTGGAGCATCAGCCCAGCAACTGACTACCTGGATACCTAGTATTTTTTTCAGGGGGTCATAATCAAATTATACCATCTGGGTATTTAACATAGCCATGGAAAATCACCATTTTTAAGTTCGGTAAACCATCTATAAATGGACCATCAACAAACCATGGCTATGTTAAATAACCAGATGGTACATGAGGCAGCCTCTGGTAATCAAACATGGCAACCCCAATTTGATCCGATGATTTTCCATTGAAACTTGGGTGATTCTCCAGCCACAGGACTTAGCACCTGAACCGGTCTGGGGACCCAGTGAGGAATGTTTGCTGAACAGGAAAACCATGATGATAATGGAATAGTAATGGAATAAGAATGGGATTATATATATATATGTATATTATATTACATATTATATATATATTATATTATATATATGGCATACTGTTTCTTGTGTTTGCTCGGATTTGTTTTGGGGAAAGCAACCGCTACAGGAGCCATTTTTCCAGAATTTTCAGACCCAAAAGTGGCATCCAGCTGTAGATGGTTTATCCCATAAATTACTATCCCCATTATTTACAGGGTTTCAACGGGTTTCATAGTTACCAATAGCTACCAAATGGTGCACGATGGCTTGTCCATTCACAGTGTGGCAATCAACAGCTGCTTTGGGAGAAGCGATGTCACCAGCTTGACATAGCTGACATCGCTATCCAACCTCATCCAGCCATGGTGTTGGGGTAAAGCCAGTGGAACCAATTTTTCATGGGTGAACTGCACTTCACTCCGTTATCAAGTATCAAGCAAAAACATGACTTTATACAACATACACTACTTGTTGATGCTGGCATCCCATTTAATTTATTGCGCATCAACCAGGAATCGGAGACTACTTGGGGGTACATCCCAGTTAGTAAGTGGTTGGTCAACATATTGTGACCCAGTTACTGTACATACATGGTACAGCTGGGTTATGATCACCACTTGCGAACTGGGATGCACACCCAGTACACCTTCAACTATGATCACCACTGTACACTACATATTCAATATATTCATTTTCACGCATGTTGATGGTTGATATCCTGATTGTAACCCCATTTATCACTAAAAGGCAACAGTAGCACCATAGCCACTTTAAATGACCACTTGAGCAGTTTCAAAAACGCCAGTTGGTTGATGATTAATTGTAGTTACTGGTGTTAAGCTACCTCAAAATCAATTCTTGCAGTTTAGTAATCCCCAAAAAGATAGAAAAGCAATGTATCCACTCTTTTCGTAGGATTTTCCTTTTCTATCTATTTGGGGATGACTATGCTGTTGTTCACCAACCCTGTATCTTTTTTTTTGAAACCATATCTTGCCCGTGGTTTGCCATTCGGGACGGATTCAGGTCTACCTGAGTCTACGTGCCAAGGGCACCCCTCCAAGGAAGGAGAAGGTACAGGAACTGCTCGCAGGAATTGGCAGGTGCCAACTGCTGACAGTCGACATGGGATGGGAAGCGGCTGGAGCTGGAAAATGATGCGGCTATACATGACATGTTTTTGTCTTTGAAGAATAACTGTATAGATGATTCTTGTAATATTTGATGACCCTAGCAGAATTATGTCGTTTGTTCGTCATCTTATGTTTGATGTGTTAAACTCACTTCATGTGCGAACCTTATTTTGTTTATTTCGTTTGTTTGCTTTACAGTATTCTTATTCATCTTATTTAGTTCATTCTGCTTACTTCACATATTTTATTCATTTGACCAATATATATATATATTCCCCAGTTTTGCGGCATTTTGTTCGTTCCATTTGTGCTCTTTTGTATTTACTCTGTTTGCTTCGTTTGTTTTGATGTATTTCAGTTATTATATATATATATTTTTCATTCTCTACTTTTAGATGATTTATTTGTTTTGTCTATTTGATTTATTTTGATTTGTTTAAATTACTGTTTGAACAATTCTATTAACTTTTTGTCCTACATGATTTGTTAGTTTATGTAATCTATTTTGTTCAGTCCCACAGTCCCACAATTTAAAATATTCAACCAACGACGGGCGTGATGGAGAAGACTGGCAACCAATTTAAACAACCCACAAGTAGATAGAATAGTTTTTACAGTTGATATATGGGTGTGTCTGAAAATAGTGTACCCCTTTTTACCCAATGGTTTTGCTGATCATTATCCCTATTTTTTATGGCTATTTCATTGGGAATATAGCCTATTTTCATCACCAAACCCATATACCGTAGATTCTTTCTAGGTTTCCAGCTTTTGTACTTTTTTTTGTTTTACGCTAAAACGAGCAACACGGCATTTCCGCTTGAGAGCATTGTTCAATGGTTCAACACGGTATCTGCAAGATGATCTGCACTTGGGCCCTTTGAATTCTCACTGGTACAAAAAAAAGCACCCATATTCGTTCGGACATCCTACAAAACAATAAAATTAACTCACAGCGTCTGGAGCGAATCAATACCTTGCAACAACTAGCATTCTGAGCATTGTTCTTTGGAAAATACTATCTTAAACACAACATTGTATGACAACAACACATGAAAACCAAAAAACATATCATGTCCGGAGTGTCAAGTAAGACCAAACAGAATCAGTTAACATCAGTTCAAAGACGTTCTGGCTCTAATTCACGATGTTTTCGGCGACTTTGGTTCTTGGTTTTTTCGGTTAACTGTGGCGTTTCCGGTGAAATCGGCCCAAAATCTTCAGCAGGTACTTGGAGAGCAAAGGCCTGAGCCGAGGTGCGCCTTTGTTGATGATTGGAGATTTAAAGATGAAGACATGACAATGACATGAAGAAATGATATTTGTATGTTCATTATATGGATGATGAATATTACTAATATTACTATCAAAATAAGATGATAATATATATGTATATATATATAGATTCCTCAAGGCACACAGGGACAATCGGTCGCGGCAGCATTGAATGCATTGTTTTTTTTCTTTGTTTTTTAAGGGGATCCGGCTAGCCAGCAAAGTCCGGGTATATATATATACTGCTTGGTGGTTTCAAACATTTTTATTTTCCATAATATATGGGATAATCCTTCCCATTGACTAATATTTTTCAAGATGATTAAAACCACCAACTAGTATATATAGATATTGATATTTTACGTCAAGAATCATCCAAAAATGAGACTTATCTATGAAAATGATATTGTTATTCAACAATACCAGGGGCCCATGATCAATAAAAGAGTTTGTAAGGTAAAGGAATGGCGAGTATCATTGTGGGATATTGTCGATTCCACATGAATCAACCATAGGATTTCAGAGAAACCGATTGGTGTTTGATTGTTTTAGATACCAATTTTGACACTGTCATGCAGTTTCTCCCAAACAAAAATCACACGTATTTTTCAGCACATGTTTTTTTTGCTGCGTAGTTTCCATGTTTCTAACTTTTCTTTTTGTTCTGGGGTTGCTGTATGTATGGAACAACTGCACTCTCTTTGGTTTCTGGAAGAATTTAGGAACTCGGGATTGTTTGAATCGTGACGGTCCAAATTGAAACAAAAAAAACTCCAAATACCTTCAAAACTATTGGGTAGCCAACATCGGTAAAGGGCAATGGTTTGGTGTGTTGTAGATTGGGTGGGGGTCAAGATCGACCGGAAAATGATAGGGTTTCACCATGCTAATAGAGGGCCTAAAAACATTGCCACAAACCAATTGTGACAAATACCCTCTGGATCCCTCTGGTAATGACTGACATAGCTATTGAAAATGGCTCCTTTTTAGTTGAATTACCTATTATTTTGATGGTGATTTTCCATAGTTTTTTGTATGTTTACCAGAGGGTACGTCCCTTCAGAACTGGCATATTTCATGGGATATCGCCCACATAGTAACTACATATTGGGACTTCCGGAATCATCTTTTTTCAGCAGCAATTTTTGCAATCGATGGTTTGATGGGGTAGCAACGATATAGGTAACCATCTCTGGTTGGTGGTTTGGAACATTTGGATGATTTTTCCATATATTGGGAATAATCATCCCAACTGACTTTCATATTTTTCAGATGGGTTGAAACCACCAATCAGATCTCCTGGATTAATAAACACCAAACGATTGTTTAATTGGGAGGGTACCATTTAAGTATCAGATTATGACTATTGGGGGAGTACCCCCTTAATTAACAAACCAGGGTTTATTAATCCGGGGTTGACATTAACCGTCTTGTTGTACTTTTCATCAACCAAAAAAGACATTTCACAGTGAATGGACAGGAAAAAAAACAGGTTATTCTGTTCTAGTAAATTCTTGGTCCTGTGGGATTTCGGTTACTTAGAGGATCGTTCCACGTATCGTAACTGGTTCATAACCCTGGTTGATAAGTAGCTGATTCCTGGGGTGTCACATTTAGTTGGGTTATAAAGTAGATTTCAGGCTGGGATTATTCTGTGAACATGTAATCAAGTGGGTCCTATTCCATTCCATGCTTTCAAATATCATTTTCCTAGTGTTCGTTGGAGAACACATGAAATTTTTCAGGGGTACCCTGCGGTATCCTCCGTTTTGTGAGAAACCCTATCAGTGAAGGAGCTCCCCATTTCTTCCTTTAAATGATCAGTGGCACAAAGCCTATCTTTGATGGCCAACATCTTATCTCCAGAGCTGGATCTGGAGATGGTAGTCTTTGATGGTAGTCTTTGAAGCATGAAACCTGGGGAATCTACTGAAAATCGCCTCCGGGAGAAGTTTTTGGTGGATGGTGATGGATACATCACCATGGAAATGGTGGTTTGTGATGGGGGTTGATAATTGATATATATATATATATATATATAATGGATATAATGGCAATCAAATGTGGCTAGCTGGGAAATCCCCCCTAAATGGAAAATCATCGAACGAAATGGGCGATTTTCCAGCAAACCATTAATGCAAGACTACCTCAGTTTGAAGCCAACCAGATTAGTATTTCGCAAGTCAATGCAAACAAAAGGTTTAATGGTTGATATTCACACTAACCAGGTTAGTAGTAAAACTGGTAGCGACTAAACTTTTTTTTTCAAACACAATTAGTATTGAACATCATCAGTCATAGCCAGATTGATTCTCACGAACCATTAGTCCAAAACATAGAGTTTGGTCAAACCTGATTAAAGTAGGCTTAAATTCAACCTTTTATGTTATCTTCTTGGAGGCTGATACATCCATTTTCCACGAGTTGCTGGTGAAATCAATTGCTGGTCGCGGATGGAGTTCATTGTGGGGCAACAGTACCCATTCACCGTGAATCACGGCCCTTTTTTTCAATTTTTTGGCTTTTCCTAAGTCATGGGGGATCCGCTTGCGTCACCATGGTGGTTTCAATTTCCTCTAGTTTGGTTTACTTGGGGATGGGAAATGGGGGTAGCCCATGACTGGATGGAAACCTCAAAAAATGATTCCAGTTGTTTTTAACATCTCATCTATCCAATCAACTCCTATATGTTACCTGATATTCTCTGTCGCTCGTGGGTCAATCTCCACTAAAAATAGGTGGCTAGCCCTGGCTGGCGCAAAAATCACCCCAGCCCACAGTGTTTTTTTTTGAAAACCCACATTGGCCAAGAACGCTTTTTATAGCTTTTTTCCTGTCGTTTTCCCAGCAGTTCCTACAATGTGGTGCCCCCTAGTAATAAGTTGGTTTATAAACCCCATTAACTATAGTTATATCTGCCATAAACCATAGTTATTGGAGTTATGTTCACCAACTTAGCTAACGAACTGGGGCACCACCTTGTAGCCCTTATTTATGAATAGCTATAGCCACCCACAGAGGTGCCACGGTGCCATGGTTCATCGGCTCGCCAGGTAAGATTCGTATCGAGCTTTTTGAGCCATCGCAGCAAGCGGTGGGATCCCAAACAGCTGCGGTGGAACGGCTGCGGTGACGGCTTGTGATGACGATGATTGTCAAGTTATCATGATCTTTGTTTGATATTATGCTGTTATTGTTTTTTATTATATATAATTATATATAATTATATATATATGACGGGATATAGGGTTCTCACTAGTTGCTACGCCAACCTTTGGCTCAAGAACACCGCTGCTAAAATAGCGAGTTGCATATTCTCCGTTCATGGTAGCGGAGCGATACGCTCCAGGGTCTTAGCAATGGACCAACAACAAGCGGCACAGGTCCTCCAGTCGCTCCAGGAACTACAGACCGAGGTCAATCGACTAAGAGGCCGAGAAGCTGAACTGACAGCACAGGTCGCTTCTTTTGGTGCCGGTTCGGCTGCTTCAGCTGGACCTGGCAGTGCACTGGCACAGTTGGTGCAGTCACAAAAGGAGCTTGTGGACGCCCTTAGATCGAAAGAACAAGTCCGGTTGGTCGACAACAAGGGCCTTGGCAAGCCCGACAAGTTTGATGGGACAGCCGAAAGATTCTTGTCATGGAAAATCAAGACGTCCTCCTATCTTGCAAGTGTTCGCAAAGACCTTCGTGAGATTCTGGTTTGGGCCGAAGATTGCGATCATGCAATCACTGCAGATGACATCGACAAGGCTTTTGGGAGTCAAGCAGATGCCATTGACCAGGTGTCGAACATCAGTGAATTGAGACGCGAGCTTTGGGATGCGCTGCTAATGCTGACAGAGCGTGAGCCCTTTGACATCGTGCTGAACACCGGGGAATGCGGCATCGAAAGCTGGAGAAAGCTCACGCGGAGGTACGACCCATCCACTGGTGGTCGCAAACGCGCTCTCCTCAATGCAATCTTGTCACCGGCTCGATCCAAGATGGAAGATTTGCCGTCCAACCTGGAGAAGCTTCTTGACAGCATCAGACTTTATGAACGTCGCAAAGACGCATCTGGCAACCGAACGATGTTGGCAGAAGACATCAAGATCAACGTGATTGAACGATTGGTGCCGGCAGAGCTCGAGCGTCATCTCGTTCTCAATCGAGATCGCTTCAAAACGTTCGAGTCCATGCTGTCCGAGATCCAGTCCTATGTGGAACATGCCACCGGCAACAAGATCAAGGTGGTGAACAGCCAGCCCTACGACGCACATGGCCGTGGGGACGATCCTATGGATGTCGGAAGCTTTGGAAAAGATGCAAAGGGAAAAGGTAAGGGCAAGAAGGGAGCTGGAGGAAAACCTGGAAAGGGAAATGCAACAGCTGAGAAGAGAACATGTCACAACTGCGGACGCCCAGGACATCTGCGGGCAGATTGCTGGGCACCTGGAGGCCCCAAACATAAGGGGACGGGTGGCAAAGGCAACAGCAATCAGAATAAGGACAAGGGCAAGGGCAAAGGCAGCCCCGGAAAGCACAAGCAGAAGCCCAAAGGAGGCAAATCTGTGAACAATGTCGAACAAGGTGAACCAGAAGCAGAAGACTGGGACGCAGCTGATGGCGACGATGGTCAACAAGCAGCAAATGGTTTAACGCTCTATGGTGTTGATGGGCCACCACATGACGAGGATGACGACGAAAGTTTCCAGGTCGATCCCGAGTCCGAGGAGTCGGAAGCCTCGACAAGTCGCAGAAGGTGGTTTTCTTTGCCTCACCCACGTGCGTCATGGCCTGAAGAGTGGGACGACCCCGACTATGATGGACCGAGTGGATCGAGTGGCTCAAGACCCCTTCGGTCGCTTCGACTGGAGGAGGTCACCGAGCACGAGACCACTACATCCAAGTCCGCGTCTTCCAAGGCACCTCGAACGCCACAGGGAAGACCCAAGAGGGGCAGAAGTCCAAAGAGCTCAACACCAAAGAGAGGCAAAGCAAGCAGATCAGGGCCAGTCACTCCGGAGTCAGCACTCCGACGCTTTCGAATGACTTCGATGACACCACCACCAAGGAGAAGGTTGAGGCATGGGCCACAGACTCCAGAAGAACTTCTTCGTAGCTCTACACCTTTGCCAAAGACACCACCGACACCTATAGCATGGCCTGCATCACCTCCACAACAGCCGATAGCCTCGCCCAAGACTCCACCAGGACCACCACCAGGATGGCAAAGCCAAGTAGCTTCACCCAAGACTCCGCCATGTCCACCACCGGGATGGCAAAGCTCTCAGGTGAAGCCACCACCACCTGTCAAGGCATCATCGGCAGCTTCGACTTCAGGTTCTCGACTTGTCCAGATGCTGAAGGCTGCGCTGAGTTCACAAATCCGCAAAGTCCAAGAAGAAGATCCTGGTTCAGGAGATGGCCAGGCAGATGCGATGTTAGCGGCTTTGAGGACTAGATCTGTCAAGGCACCGCACATCACAAAGCAGAACATCAGCGATCCTTCTTTCCACGACTCGAGATACCATGCCGAGATTGCCAAAGGTGTTGCACACAATGTGGCCTGGAGAAATGAACGTTTGAGAAGACGTGCAATCGTCCACCGACGTGGAGGAGTCAAGGCACGTGCGGCTGAAAGGATTCGACTTGACAAAGAATGGCATGAACGCTTTGACAACCCAGAAAATCCAGAAGGCATAGTGAGAATCGAGGATGAAGACAACTTGGATGCGGGCATCGAGACGGTGGTTGTGGGCAAAGCTGGTCAGAGCACAGTGATAGAGTTTTCAGCGGAAGAGCGGAAAACCTTGAGGCAGTTCCCGGACGACGAGGCCAAGTTGCTGCAGAAGGACCCCAAGAAGAAACCCATGACCAAGCGTGTTCGAAGCGTTGGGTACAGGGTGAAGAAGAATCGCAACCGCAATGTGGCGCGCAAGATGGCGAGGAAGAACCGACCAGCCTTGGTTCTGAAGGAAAACACTGAAGTGAACGCAGATGAAGATGATGATGAAATGGAAGAGGTCTACATCGAAGAGCCTGATGAGCCTCGAGACCGACCAGGCAGAGGAGACCCCGATGGTGGAGCTGGATCGGCTCCTGCTGCAGTCTACAGCTTGGGGGCCTCTGATGACTGGCGAAAATGGGAACGAGCAGAGTTGAACATCGACACCGGTGCTGCCATCACTGCAGTACCACTTGACTTCGCCAAGGACTACCCGAGGAGCGAGTCCAATGGAGCAAGCTACAAGGCAGCCAATGCGGAACCCATCGAAGATCAGGGAAGTGTGAAGCTGGTGGGATACGACGAATCTGGCAACAAGATCCCAATCGATTGCCGAGTTGCAGATGTGCATCGGCCACTTCTTTCAGGTTCCGAGATCGCCAAGAACTACCACATCGCCCTTGGACCATCTTCGGGGAAATTGATCCCAAGAAACACTCCTGCGGGACGGGCCTATTCGAAGGCCATGAAAGATCTGATCCGAGATTATGGCGATTCAATGCCCATTGTGCACAATCGCCGAGGCATCTATGTGTTGGACTATTGGGTGTCACCTTTTCAGGGGCATCCTCAAGAGGAGTAAGACCACAAATCAACGCTGTTGGCGAGGATCCAGCTGTTTCAGCCGGAGCCGATGCCATGGAAGATGGAGGCGATGTTTCAGCCGCTTCGGCCGGAGCAGGGTCCTCAGGCGATGTTCCAGCTGCTTCAGCCGGAGCAGATGCCTTTGAAGATGAAGTTGATTTGGAAATCGGTGAAGAACAGAGGAAAGCCATTGTGAAGAAAGAACCACATCAACCATCCCAAGCTGAAGTTGACGAACATGAAAGCACTGGACATGTTGTCCATCGGAGCTGGTGCTTGCACTGCAAAAGGGCACGTGTGACTGCTGATCGCCATGTGCCTAAGGAACTTGATGAGCCAGAAACGCAGTTGCCCACGCTGAGCCTGGACTACTTCTATATGAACCAGGACCAGGTTGCGGATGAGGCGACCGTTCCGAGCATTGTGGCGAAGTGCCACAAGACCAAGAGATTTTGGGCGAGCGTTCTCCCGGGAAAAGGGGCGGATGCGTTCGCAATCGCGTGGCTTGGGGGAGTTTTGGATGATGCTGGTTTTAATAAGGTAATCCTTAAGTCTGACGGTGAACCCTCCTTGGTATCCCTTAAACAGAAGGTTAAGGAGATAAAGACCCACATCGAAGTGCACTTGGTGGAAACCCCAGTAGAAGACCATCAAGCCAATGGGTTTATCGAAGTGGGAGTGCGAGAGATAAAACGACAATGTCGTGCTCTCCTCAGCGACCTGGAGTTCAAGCTGGAAAGGAAGGTAGATCCGGGCCATCCACTTTTGGTTTGGCTCCCGCGGCATGCTGCCTTTCTCTTGACGAGATACCGAGTAGGTACTGATGGAAAGACCGCTTTTGAGCGGACCTATGGACGAAAATGGCGGATTCCGCTTGTGAGGTTCGGTGAAAGCATCCTGTATAGGCCGAGGGCCAATCGTGGGGGCAAGAGAAATGACCTTGCTCCAAGGGTATCCATTGGGATGTACGTTGGAACTGGAAACAGAAATTCAGACGTCTTTGTCATGACGGAACGTGGAATCATGAAGGGGAACTCGATCCATCGACGCCCACCTGACGATCAGTTCAAACATGATCAGTTTGACTCGCTACGTGGCCTTCCTTGGAGGTTGCAAGAACGAGAACATGGTGGACTGAGGATCGCCCTTCCCGATGTTGCAGCGCCTCGTGAAAGGCCTGCAGTGCAAGAAGTGATCCCAAGGAACCTCTATGTCACCAAGAATGACTTGGAAAAGCATGGGCACACACCTTTGTGTCCTGGATGTGAAGCAGCAATACTTGAGATGCCAAGCCGAGCTCACAATGCTGAGTGCAGACAAAGAATCCAGATCGAACTTGACAAGACTCCAGAAGGTCAATAAAGGATCAAAAGAGCGAGAGAGAGAGTTGCACAAGGCAGGCGCCCAAGAGGCGCGGCTGCACCGCCTGAGGGTGGTGGGGCAGAAGGTGGTGAAGCTGCACCACCAGTTGTCCCAGGAGGGGAAGTTGAACAACCAGTCTTGCAAGACCGTGTTCCTTTGGATGCGGAAATGGATGCAAGTGAGGCTGTTGGTGAACCACTGGTCGACACCGATTTTCGTGGAGAACTCAGACAGAGAGAACAAGAAAGAGAAGGAAGCCCAAAGAGGCAGAAACAAGAACAATCCCGAGGAGAGAAAAGGAGTTCACAAGTCGACGTTGAAGATCTTTACAATGAATCTTCAGCTCAGGCTTCAGGGTCAGCCGGACCACCGGCACCGGATGCTTCATCTGGTGTTCCGGAAGGTGCTGCCGCTGCACCAACAAGTCCTGAGACAAACCAGGAGATGCTACATCTGTGTTCCTTGCTCAAAGATGTGATCGCAAAAGGGAAGGTTGCTGAGATCTTCTCTCCACCGCGTGTGGCTGCACAAGCCCAAGTGGTCGGGCTAGCACCTGGCTTCTCGATTGACTTGGAGACAAAGCGTGGTGATGGAACTCACTGGGACTTGAGTAAAGATGAACACATTCGTGATCTGTTTCAACTGCTTGACTATGAGAAACCAGAGTTCCTCGGCGGCTCACCTCCCTGTGGGCCATTCTCGAAGCTGCAAAACATTGTGGATGCGAAGGGCAATGTTTCACCTGAAGTTCGAGCGCAGAGACTAAAAGATGGTCGCAAACATCTGCGCACGGCAGTTTCAGCGTATGAGCATCAAATGAATGCTGGAAGGTACTTCTACCATGAGCACCCTAAAGGGGCCGCTTCGTGGGAAGAGAGAGCTGTGAAGAGACTGAGGGCAGATGAACGGGTGTATGAGGTCACTGGACCAATGTGCCGTTGGGGAATGAAGGCCGCCGATGGCCAAGGTGAAGGGTCAGTGAAGAAAGAAACTACCTGGCTCACGAACTCTCCAATCCTGGCACAGACCCTACAAGGGTGCTGTTCAAACAAAGAAGGCAAAGTTTGGCACCGCCATGTACATCTTGTTGATGGACGAGCCCGAGCTGCCCAGAAATCCCCACCAAAGCTTGTCCACGCAATTCTCAAGGCCATTAGGCGCCAACTGGAATGTGATGGAGAACTACACTCACTTTCACATGGCCCAGTACCCGATGCTGGACCTGTGATCAATGAAGAGGAGGAGTTTTGGAAGCAGCTGCCCGACAGCGATGACACCATCGTGGAGCCAGTGCTTGACGCACACTCCGGTGCTGTCTTGGATGTTGACAAGGTCAGAGCTGCTCGACAAGAAGAACTAGCATGGGTACACAAACAGGGGATCTATATCAAAGTTCCACTCACAGAAGCCCAACAGTCTGGAAAACCGGTCATCACCATGAAATGGATTGACAGAAACAAAGGGGATGCAACACACCCCAACTACAGGTCACGTCTGGTCTGTAGAGAGATCAAACGGGCCAGCAATGCTGACTTCACTCCGGACTATGCGTCCTTCAGTTCGATGCCGCCTTTGGAATCGCTGAAATTGCTTCTATCGCTTATGGTGACTTTGAGACGATCCAAGTCTGGCAATGCACTGAAAGTTCGTCTTCTTGACATATCACGCGCTCACTTCTATGGAGAGGCAGAGCGTGATATCTTCGTGCAGTTACCTGAAGGAGATCGACAAGAAGGGTTTTGTGGCAAGCTCGTTAAGAGCATGTATGGAACACGCGATGCATCAGCGATCTGGCAAAGATCATATACAGAACTTCTCATCCGAGCTGGTTTTGCCAAGAATCAAGCTTGGCCATCCTGCTTTTACCATGAAGGTTACGGTGGTATTCGAGTTCTTGTACACGGAGATGACTTCGTGGTGCTTGCTGATGATGCTGGACAGAAATACCTTGAGGACACCTTGAGGTCCAAATATGATCTGCGGGTCGATGGATCGATCGGTCCTGGAGAACGGCATCAGCAGTTCGCAGTGCTCAATCGAATCGTGACCTACAACGAGCAGGAAGGCTCTGTATCCTATGAGGCGGACCCCCGCCACGTTGACCAGATGGTACGAGATCTAGAAATGGAAAACTGTAAGCCAGTCAAGACACCATCTGAGAAAATGTCAGCCACGGAGGCCAACTTGAAGTTGACCACCCCGACCATCACACCGGACCGTGTAAGTTTCTTCCGGTCTCTGGTGATGAGAGCGTCGTATGTGGCACAGGACAGACCTGACATCGCGGAGGCAGTGAAATGCCTATCAAGAAGAATGCATGAGCCCAAAGAATCTGACTTTCAGGATCTGAAACGCTAGGTGAGATTTCTGAAAGGGAAACCACGTGTACTTTTGAAGTTTGGTCGCCAGAAGTTTGCTGACACGATCCACATGTACGTGGACTCCGACTTCGCTGGGTGTCTTCTTACAAGGCGCTCAACAAGTGGACTTGTGGCAACCTTTGGCCGCCACACGGTGAAGGCCTCGAGCACTCTTCAGAGCACGATCAGCTTGAGTTCCGGTGAAGCGGAATACTACTCGATCGTTCGAGGAGTTTCCATCGGAATGTCGCTACAGGAGATCTTGCGAGGATGGGGCCTACAACCAAAACTTAAAGTGCACACAGATTAATCCGCTGCGCTGGGAACATGTAACCGTCAGGGCTTAGGCCGCTCACGGCATGTTCAAACTCGCTTTCTGTGGGTGCAAGAAAAGCTTGCACTACATGAATTCGAACTGGTGAAGATCCCGACAAAGCAGAACGTAGCTGATTTGTGCACCAAAGGTTTACCTGCGAATGAGATGGAAAGACACATGCAAAGCATGGGGTTCGAGTACTCTCATGGTAGAGCCGAAGCTGCAAAGGCTTTGGAATGAGTGTACATCAGCTTAGGAAAATCCCAGCCTCTGTACAGGAGGGGTGACGGGATATAGGGTTCTCACTAGTTGCTACGCCAACCTTTGGCTCAAGAACACCGCTGCTAAAATAGCGAGTTGCATATTCTCCGTTCAATATATATGTATATATATATATGTGAGTTATCATCATTTTTTAAGTTATTCTTACTATAATGTTTCTTTATACAAAGATGCCTGTATTGTGACTCGGTGACTGGTACACAACTTTCGGTGACCTCCAACTTATGGACAGGGGTGAGATTTTGTCATCCGAGAGCTGGATTGCAAAATGACGCAGCTTTCGTTTTTTCTTGGGGGATCTAATGAATCTAGTGTTTATGTTCGAGTCGCACCTTTGTGATTGCTGCAGCCCATTTTCGAGATGTGAAACTTCAGGATGCGGAGAAGACACCCACCACTTGTGGATCATTTTCCGAACGAGAGAAACCCCACGTTTTTTTTTTCCACATCTATGTTACTTTACCCAAACGTATAAAACCCATATAGTGTGGTATAAATCCAACAATAGTCACCATCCTTAATAGAGGTTTATAACACTAGATATAATGACTGGGTTGTTTCTATTGAATTACATAATATTGTTTTTAATACTTATAATAAACCATCCCCAATTTTATGATATAAATTATATCCCTATGACTGAGATGACAACCACCATTCTTGTTGAACAAATTTCCT